CGGCTTGGGTCAAATGCCTCAGGAAGGCAACCCTCCTAACTGTTCTCTAAGGTCACCGACAGGAAAGGAAGGCCATTTTAAAGTCCATTCACCTCCTGGTTACGTCTCGTCACACTGCTGGTTGTGGTTAGACTCCATGACTATCTGAACAATGGCCCGAGGCTGGAAATATCTGGAGATGTCTCTTGAGGAGGGTCGAGGGCCCTGGATTTATGTCAAAGTCCTCTGTTAACTTCCTCTTTGAGGCCTTTCTTTTTTTTTCTGAGCACATGATAAAACGGTGGTACGTCACACAGATCTGGGGACTCAGTCACAAGAGTGCTTGCTACATAAGGAGAAGAGCCGAGACTGGTGCCCAGAGCACGAGGTGAAAGGCTGGGTGTGTTCACACACGCTTGTAACCCAAGCACGGAGATGTAGGGACACTGATCCCCGGATCACTGGGTTCTCACAAAAATGTGGATGAATGACCCTCGAGGCTGACCACTGGCCCCCACATAGGAAAGCACTCATGGTCATATACAGTTGTATACACAAGTGTGCCACCCTGTGTACACATACATGCGCACGCACACACACTCAAATAGCATAACATGTTGCCAAAGGAATGCAAGAAACTCTTCTTACTACCTTACTTCTGAGCCACCATGTTGCCTCCTTCCCGTCTCTGCCCATCCTTCAGAGTCTGCCAACCCTCCTCCCACACCCCCGGGAGAACCAGTAATTCTCCAGACCGTGGCCCAGTGTGTTGTTTCAGGTATAATAACATTTGTTAATTTGTAATTCCACCAAGATGCAAGTTGTGAGGCCGTGATAAAGATGTAATTCCCACAGTGGAGACCATGATTCTTCCTTCAGTCAACACTTCCAGGGAATCTACCCTGGGCATGGGAAGGAACAAGTCCCCAGGTGTTCCCTGACTCCAGGAGCTTAGCATCTACCAGGAGGCAGTGAAGTCATGAAAGCAAGCCATGATAGATCGCAGAGACCGATATCGCCAGGGCAGAAAAGACAGTGCGTCCCACTAACACTCGGGAGGGGAACGAGTCATTTCTACCTTTAGGAGAATCAGAAATACTGTATGAAAAAAGACAAGCGGTAACAGTATTGGCATTAATAATGAGACAGGAGCCACATGTAAAGGCAATGGTCATATTATTTAGTCCTCTATAAAGTAGGCATTGCTCTGTTTTGTGAAGGCTGGGCTGGAAGTTAAGGAAGAGTTGGTCTTGTTTGTTTCTGAGGTAGTACTGAGGGTAGAGAAGGGTGTTGTTCATCGGTGGGAATCGGCAGTATCAAGGCATGAACACTGGGAGGCCAGAGGCATCTGCTGGCGCCATGCAGGTCAGTGTGGCTGGAGCGTTGGAAGGGTCAAGGCCTGTTACAGAAGACACGCACATGCAGGCTGTCATGGAGAGACATCATGAGGAGAGACTAAGACAGGTCTGCTGGTCCCTTCTCATCCGGGCAGCCAAACAAGAAACTGGGGTTCTCTGTGATGTGGGGAACCCACAGTCAGGTCCTCGTGTGCACGGCAGGCCATCCCATCCCTGATCTCTTTGCTGTGACAGTGAAGGTTGGAGGTGTCCTTTCCTTTGAAGGACGTAGGAATCCCCAATGCCCTCATTGTCATTTCTTCTAGTCTCAATCTTAAATGAGGGTAAAGCTATTTCCAACCGGAATCTGTTTATAGTTTATCTGAATCCTAGAAACAGCTTCATTTATTAGTGCCATGGGGTCTCTTGGGGACTGTACCCATCACGGACACCTGCAGCTGTAATCAATAATGGATAGTTGGCAGTAGCAACCACTGACCAGTGAGCTGTGCAGGAAGCTGGCAGGGAGAGGTACCTGGGTCGTGGTCCCTCGGTGCCTGCCTGTGTTTCCATTCGGGGCTGACTCAGATCTGTCGCTCCTATATTTATTCTTGACTCTGTGAGGACAGGCTTCTGATAAGTCCTTTTACTCCTTCAACCCAGGGTCTGTGAACAAGGATTGAGCAAATTACCTGAAACTTTATTCTCCCAACAAATGGTCCCATGGCCTCCTTTGACATTCTCAGGCAGCCCCTCGTGACTGACACTGACTGAGGTAAAATAGCACCTGCATTTAAGGATGACTCACTTCCATGTAAATAATGAGGGAATCAAAGGGCCCCGTGCCTTCTTAGACTGGTAAGATGCTGTGTGCAATGGGAGTCCACACTGTCTATGCAAGTCTGAAACTGTATGCCAAACTCTGATCCTGAGGAGATGGGACGTGTTATGATACTTCACACATAGCCCTCGGTTCTATGTTAGCATGCATACCCACTGCTGGAGACAGGAGGAGAAGCCTGAATTCAGAGCCCTCCTTCACACAAGACATCCTATTTATAGTGCCAATTTAGCTGGGTGGTGGTACATGCCTTTAATCCTAGCACTTGAGAGGCAGAGGCAGATGGATCTCTGTGAGTTCAAGGCCAGTCTGGTCTACAAAGCTAACACCAAGACAGTCAGGGATGCACAGAGAAACCCTGTCTCAAAAAAACAAAACAAAACAAAACAAAACAAAACAAAAAAAAAACACCAGCAACTGAGGACTTTAACATATGAGCCCAGATCTTTGTTCTTGGCAATGCTTTCAAAATTGAGTATGTGTAAATATTTGCCTAATATTTTAAATAGTAGAAACAGCATTTTGCCACATTTAATTTTTGTTTCATTAGGGTATAAAGCACAAGATACAAAACAATTTCTTTGTTTTTGTGTCAGGGTCTTTTTTTTTTGAGACCTGGCCTAGTACCCTACATACAAATCAGTCTTGAACTCATGATGATCCTCCTGCCCCTGCCTCCTAAATTCTAGTATTAGAAGTGAAACTCAGTTTTTGTATTTTCTATTCCTTATTTACTCTTACAAGGGTTTAATTCCCCATACAAAATTCTGGAATGTTTCCCCACAGGGGCTAAGGTCAAAGGTAACTGAGAAGCAGGAGATGGGGTGATCTTAGAGCAGTGGCAAAGAAAAGCAGATAGATCTGGTTCAGCAATGGATAGGCTTTCGGATCCAGGAATACACTGGGCAGGAGTCAAACTGGGAATGAGCAGGGGGGCAAGACCCTCAGAGCAAACCAACGAGAGTAACTCCTGCCTCATTCCCTGGTGCAATGCCTTTGGACAAGCTCACGTCAGTCTGCTTCTGCGTTATCAGAAAGGATGGTCCCCTCCTGCTCCTATCTTACCTCCTCCCCTACACACACCCAAATATTAGCTCCTCCCCTACACACCCAAATCTTGGCTCCTCCCCTACACACCCAAATCTTAGCTCCTCCCCTACACACCCAAATCTTAGCTCCTCCCTACACACCCAAATCTTGGCTCCTCCCCTTTGCACACCCAAATCTTAGCTCCTGTACCTGAGCTCTCATACAAAATTCTCTTTGTGTTCTATTTTGTCCTTGGTTCAAAACCACTGGCATTGTGTCCACAGCAGCAAAGAAGGAAATTGGTTTTGTTACAAATGTACAGTAACTTAAGCAAGGGAGTAAGGAAAGTCCACTGCACGGGGAGTGGACGCTGAAGCAGTCACACAGAGTCCACTGCACAGAAGTGGTCACTAAAGTAGTCACACCAAGTTCACCGCAGGATGCTGAAGTGGTCACACATAAAGTCCACTGCACGGGGAATGGATGCCCCAGCATCCACAGGTAAAGTCCACCACAGAGGTAAGGCTGAAGCAGTCACACATTCAAAGCTTTCAGAAGCTTTTCTCAATTGATAAAAAAAAAATTCCCTCGGAACTCTGAAACTATGAATAGAATCTCTGATAAGACAAACGAGGTCATAATGACCTCATGAGAACATGTAACTGCCGAGAAACCACACAGACTGGAGGAGGTGGGGTGGGGGGAATCAGGAAATGATAAATCCATTCTTGGCCCTTCCCATAAATCTCCCAATGAGATTGTTCCGCAATAGGCCGGCTGTGTTTAAAGGGCACAGGTTCCCTCTTTAAGGTTGAGAAAATGTAACCACATGTTTCCTGCCCTCCAGCTTCTTGTCCTTTTTCAACTTACTTACAATTATAATTTAAATTGGAAAGTCTGTTGTCTACCATGGGAAGAATTGCTAATTTGTAGCACCTAGCTTCCGTAGGTTACATAGTAGATGCTCATTGGTTATTTCTGAATGAGTTCACTTTACCGTCATCCATGATGTACAGAACAAATGCATGGACTCCTATAACTTCATATCTGGTGACACTACTCTCCCACCACCATTGTCTATTACAGAACATTAAATGTGGGCTTCTACACAGAGAGGAAATGAAGTTAGGTGGGGTTTTCTTCACTTGTGATCTTGGTATAACTACAGGGATTTCAGTTGGTAATTGGCTCTGGTTATCCCCACTAACAAACTGCTTCGTGCCTTAAAATGACACGGTTTCTATTCCTGTCCCAAGATGTTTTCTGTGTAGTCTTTGTCAGAGGGAGAGAGAAAGTAAAGAAGAGAGTTGTAAAAGCATGAGTTGTGATAGATTCCAACATCTATATCCTGGCCTAGGTCCTCAGAAATCCATGATGGTCCGTTAAACCTGTCGGCCTGTGAGGGAGGCATGGAGCTCACTGTTTAACTTCACATCAGCAGTCAGAGTTCAGAGCTGGGAGCTCTGTAACCATGGTGACATTAGCCTGTTCCCTAAGAGGCAGTGGTGGCCAGATGTGAGGTCGTTGGTTGTCATAAAGGCTGAGCTGCTCGCCATGGTCTCTCTGTGGTTTGTCTCAGATTCTTCGCTCACAGAAGCAGTGCCTATATGGACTCTGACCTTTCTCGTGAGGATGTTCTTTCTAGTACCAGTGTGGCAAAGGAATCATTAAATTTTATAAACTGAAGACAGTTGGATTAGCAGGTAAGGTCATTTTAAAAAGAAAGTCCCCCTTGAGCCTCTGCTGTGGTCACTGCCTGAGGCCATGATCTCTTTACCTAGGAAAAAGAAGAGGCAACCCCTCTGCTGGCCAAGATGAATGAAGCTTCGGAACCTCCAACGAGTGATACCGACATCCATAAGCAAGACAGTAAAATACAGAACGAAGAGACGTAAGAACAGCACGACCCGGGGTGCGCGGGGTCTGGCTTACAGAGTTAGGGACGGAATACACACCTCAGTGTTTAAAAACGACTTAAGTATGGGTGGCGAGCACCTCAGCATGTGAAAGTGCTTGCCTGCAAGCCTGTGGCTGGGGTGTGATCCCAAACCTCTGTGACTATGGGGGAAGGAGCCCCCCATCCCCAATAGTAAGTACAATAAAAACCATTTAGGAAGTCACTAGAAGTACAAATTCCATAGGCTTCCTAAATATAATGAATCACCGCATTAACTGTTTTCCCAACCTCTGTTTCATAAGACCTCGGCCTCTGAGCAACATAAAAAAAAAATCCCCCTAGACAGAACTCTTCCATAAAAACCTAGGTGGGATTCACAGCTGCCATTTAACAGGTCAAGGCCAGCAGCTTAGAAGCTTGATTAAAGCGGGTGTGGAGGTGTGGTGGCTCACACCAATGTTCCGAGCACACCGGAGGCTGAGGAAGGAAGCCTAAACTGCACTCCGAGATTCTCTCAAAAAAATAAAAGCTATATGGAACCACTCCCGACAGCAAACCCTGCGGTGATGAACACAAGCCATCAGAATTCGCTCATGGAAATGTTGGTGGGGAACCACATGTAAAACGGTCACTGTTCCACCACAGCTCTTAACCATCTGTCAGCTGAAGCGTCGGGGAGGGTTTTCTCTGGTTGGCTAACAAATGCATTCAGTTCTTGAGGGCACATAACCAGAAGCCGAGTGCTACTTTGGACTCAGCCGTTCAGCACCCGAGACCTGTCTGTCATGAGAAGCTGGCACTGTCAAATCCGCATGCCCCAGCCCTCCTGAATGCTGGCCTGAGCTCCCGTCACTGCTCCTGGCTTAGCCTCTGTTACCTACAGAGATAGGGAAATACAAAGAAGGAGCTTGGGAAGTGCCAGGACTTGAGGCAGTAAGAAGACTGCCATCTTCTAACAGAGTCCACAGACGGGTGAGTGTAGGGCCCATACGCCCAGCTGTATCGTGAGAGCCAAGTCCTGGAGAACCTTCACTCTTCTCATGATGTGTGCAGCCGTCAGACACTTATTTTGAACAGAATTAAGGCTTCCTGTGCCCCTTGGACCAAGTTTCTCTGTTCCAGCTACACAGGGGCTTATTGGGAATCTCTACACTGGAATTACATGTGTTTGGAAGGGACGTTGTTTTCCTGAAGGAAAAATTGGGGCATTTACAAAGTGAGCGTACTGAGAAGCAAGAGCCAATGTGCAGTGGAATCCAGATGAGAGGAACACAGATCACTTCCCAGGCTTTGTCTAGGCCACAGCATCAAGAAGCCCTCCTGTGGGAGCATGGGAGCTGTCTCTGGCCACAGAGATGACACATGTAGACAGTCAGGCCCTGTAGTCTCCTGCCCACTGCTGTCATGGTCATACTCCAGAGTGTGGGGCTACTCAGACAAACACGGATGCTTGGAGCTTCACTGAGCTCACGGAGCACCAAGCAGGTAAAAATGCAAGTTTGAAAGCCTATGTCATTTCTTCCAATTTTTAAAACTCTGGTTGCGCTTTCTGAGAGGCGCATTTAGCGGCACCTGCTGATTACGGAGATCTCCAGATAAAAAGGTTTACCGGGAAGGGATGCCGCAGAGGTTCCAGGTCCTGGTTCCCCATATAAACCACAACAAACAATCCCATCCAGACACCGTCTTTAACAACCTATGAACCATGCCACGTGATGGATCCTGCAGAGATTTCCTGGAGGAAGGAAGCTTCATTTTGGCTCACAGCTTCAGAGCTGTCAACCACGGTCGAATCCATCACCTTTAGGCGAAGCAGAAAGAGCATGGAGGAGGTGTGTGGCTGAGGAGAGCAGAAGCCAGGTAGGGATAGGAGGAGCCAGAACAAGATAGAAAGACCAGGGCCTGGTGTGAGGATCCACTGCTTCCAACTTGACCCCAGCTTGCACCACTGATTGTGAATCCATCGGTGGACAACCCCATTTGTTAGAACCCTCTTACCTGGCCATCTCTGGAAGCTCTCCGGTAGACACGTGCAGAGGTGCCTTCCACTGATCCTGCTAGGCCTCGCTCAGGACAATCCTGTCACACTCGGAACTAGCCATGAAGTAAGAGCTCTGAGAAGTGGCCAAGAGAGAAGTGATGTGGGAAGCAAAGAAACTGGTTCCTGATTTTTAGTAAATCCTGTAGACACATGACTTGGCATAGGGACAGCTAGATAAGCCATGTGTCCAGTTTTATAGAGAGAGCAATGAAAGGGTTTGGACCCATTGACTTTTATTATAATTTAACCATCACACACACACATGCACACACACACAGACACAAACACACACATGCACACACACCACCCCTGTTTCTCTGAGACCACTGGAAGAGTGTTGTTGATCGTAAGCCATTGTTAATCCTGAGATTCACCAGAAAAACCAACTCCACCATTTTGGGCCACATCTGAAGCAAGCTTTAGTGAATATTAAATGCTGACCAAAAGATGGACTTTGGTCAGGACCATCCCCTGGAATTTCTTGCCTGAGAGTGGCCTCAAGCCATGTGTCCCATGGACATGTGGAGTCATGACCACTGTACTTTCCCATGAGGCTTTGCTGTTTTCCAAGAACTACAATTCCCAGCATTCCAGGAAGTTACCTGGTTCCTGGGCAGGTGGGGCTTACCAGGTTAATTTTCAGCATTACACCTGTCCTGAGATGAATCATGAGAACACTACTTAGCTTGTGAACAATTATACTGCAGTTTGGGGACTTTACTCAAATGAACATGTAAGGCTTAATAAATACTTTTTATTTTTATTTTTATTTTTTTTTAAAACTGTGTGCCTAATAAAAGTCGCTTATCACTGTGGTACTTGAAAATGGCTATTCTCCCCTCTTTTCTGGTTTCCATGGGAGATGGGGGAGGGGAGGCTGTTACTGGAAAGCAGTTATTATCCACATAATTTCATCGATATTGGAAAGTTAGCCAGCAGCTCAGGAATTCAAAGAAGACGTTATAGCAGTGAACAGGCACTAAGGTTTTTTTTGTACACTCCCAGTTAGGAAAATATCCATGTCTTGATTTGAGTAAAAGAAATCAATTTAAAAATCTAAGGAGGAAATGCTGAAATCCTAGTTGTAAGTATTATACTGACCTATAGATTTTTTACTTTTCAAAACCACCACCAATAGATAATCTGTTGATCTTTAAGTTTAAAAAAAATGAAATATACAAGAAGACAAGGCAAGTTCACTTCCATCGTTGGAACCATAGTTTGGGGCTGCTGGGCTCCCTGTCAGACGTATGAGACACATTTAGCAGAATTCTGAGTAATAATACCTCGTGCTTCCTGAACTCGGACGTCTTGATTTTCTTACTTTGTTCATTTTCACTTTGCATACAGAAGAGAAGAAAAAGTTGAAGCCATCGCCCCGTCAAAACAGCAATCATCCGTCCACTTTTTCCCAAAGATAATGGATTCGAACATCACGCTCATCCCGCTCTCAAGCTCATTTTCCCAAGAAGGGCCGATCAACTACTCCAGCGCTCAGAACAGCGGCTTCACCTCATCATCCGGAGGAGGAGGAGGACCGCTGACTCCTAAATCCACCGTCCTGAGCTGCTCCCACAAAGACAGCAGCCTGGGAAAGCAGAGTACGTACCAAGCGTCCTAGACGTTCCCGTGCAGCACGAGTTCCAGTTGGCTCTTTGCTGCTGCCTGAGTTATCATTTGGCCCCAGGGATGTTTGTTTCTCAGTATCAGCATCATACAGAGTAGGTTGGCCAGGGCTCTAGATCTGAAGGTTTAAATCCAGGGCGCTCATGTAAACGCAGGTGCAAACACAACATCTCCACGAGGAAGACACCCGCAGCTACCATAATGGCTTCTGGGTCCACCATTAGCAAGTTCTAGAATCACTGGAGAACTGAAACTTGCCGTGAGTTCCTAAGGACCCTCCACCGGATGCTGCAAAAAGGAGTAAGGTGCGTAGAGCCAGCACGGTGGGCTGAGGATCAGCTGCTCTAGAATCGATTAAGGTGCCTAGAGTCAGCATGGTGGACTGAGGATCAGTTGTTCTAGAATCGATTAAGAACTAAAATTGCCAGCGTGTAGTCCCAAGAATCCTTCTGGTGAATTCTGCTGTGAGGGTTAAGCAAGCAGTCTTCACCATCTCTGTGGAGAAGATGCCTGGAGCTACAGTGATGGCTAAAGAGTTAAAATGTCCAGTGTGTAGTAGGAAGAGCCCTTTGCGGGAGGCTGACACAAAGGATACCCAGTATCTTCCCTTGTGTCTTCAGGAGACTCAAGGCTCACGTGCATAACAGATATCGAAAGAGGAGCCGGTGCAGGAGATGACATAGCAGAGAGAAAGGGGGGCAACCAAAGAACGTGAAGCAGGAGAAACTGGGTGGTGCTCAGCGGTGCCAGTAGGGCACCGAGCCACAAGTGCTGTGGGGTATGCTGCTCACCACCGTCAGATGATGCTGCCCCAGCAAACGCAGAAGCAGCTCTTTTCTGCCCTTCATAGAGTGAGGAGGAGTGGAACTCAGCAGCCCTGATTCTGACGTTCCATCCCTGCGTATCGAAAATTAAGATACCAGCTTCGCAGAGTTCTGCCAGGCTTGTACGAGAACCCAGCACATAGCGACGTGTTAGAGTTACCGGAAGTCAGCTTCAACCCTCAGCCCACCTGTAAGCTCCTTCTAGAATAATCCACATTTGACCACGAGTACCGACTGCCTCACTCCCTCCACTCCGTGGATATTCGCGGTCTGGCTGTTTCTCATCTGTTCCCTGTTTATTTCCGGAACATTCCTAGGCTTCGGCATGGTGTGTGTGCAGTGTGCGTGGCTCTCGTGATGTTCATAGTATGCATCGTTGTCCGTATGACTCAGATGAGTTGTCCAAAGACGCTTGCTAAATTCTTGGTGACCTTTACCACTGAGCAATAGGTATAACGTTAAATGTGCAAGTACAGACTTTAGAATTAAGAAAGCATGTTTTCCCGTCTCCTGGTACTATGTAGACTATTGTGTTTGCTGGGTTAAGCTAAATGCCCCTGATTGGGGGGGGGGGGCTAAGCGTAGTGTTGCATCTTGCATGGCGAGAGAAGATTGGGGTGCAGTCTTCTCCTTGAGTACCACAGATCCTCCTGCAGACTCAGGCCTGGGAACACTGGGACATGTTGTACCAACTCAATGCCATCTGTGGTCCTCACCGAAGTAAAAACAAGAGCTCAGTTAATGCCTCCTTCCCTTTGAGAACACAAGCGTTCTCTCCTCATGATAGGCTGCCAGGGAAGATGCCTTGCCCTTTCCCAAAAGAACTCCCCACCGGGCTGTGAACGCTAATTTAATTCTCGTGTTTCTTTTCACCAAAATCCTTGGAGGAACCCCTATAGTCACTGGGGCCATTGGTATAGCTCGGTGACAATTCAAGATGTTCTTAGTGTGCTTGAGGCCCTAGGCACAACCCTATTGCTACAGCAAACACCTAACCTCTGTGCCTTTATGCATTTCACCTTTTGTTAAAGACACAAAGACCTAAAACAAAATCTGAGTTGTTTTTATGATTTGATGATTCTTGACCCAGGGTCCCATAATACCCTGCATCGTCCCCTGTAGAGGTGGTGTCACATCAGGTAGGGTTTTAATTTGGGCAGTACAGCAAGCATTAAGTAGAATGAGAGTATATCCGTAATATATAACACTCAAGTTTGACAGGTTCAGTGTTTAACTCACGAATACGGATGGTTTCTAGTGCACCTAAATGACCAGTTAAACACCCAGCGTGCTCGAGCTAGGAAACCAGCAAGGAATGTGAATTCCCCGAGGATGCCTGAGCCAAGATGGCTGTACAGTCCATCCAAGCACCATGCTATGCCTGGGCTTTAAGACAGCAAAATCCTTAGAAAGTGAGGGCAGCATGGAAAATATTCACTTACAGCTGCTTTATAGACGCCTACCAGTGCCTCCGTCCTCACTGACGGAGTTTGGCAGAGGTGGAGGAAGGTTTCTAAAGAAGCTTGGTTCTGTAGACACAGGAGCAAAGATAATGTTCTCAGTTTCTTTCGATGACGGTTTAAATGCCTGTCTTTGCTTGCTTGTCCCGTTTCTTTAAAAGGCACAAGCTTCATGATTCCAAGGAAACAGCCCCTACCGTGCTCTGAGGTGGATACGTATGTTTTGGGGGATGGCGAGGATTACTTCCTTTCTCTGTTTGGAGAATCGAAGAAGCTTACATCACATACATCCCAAGCCGAGGACGTGAGCAAACACCTCTCTGTGATCCTTGAGGAAGTCGGCCAGTTTACATCCAGGTACACACTTTAGTAACTTACTGTCTTCTGTTGAGGCCATAGGTCAGTACAGAGCAGAGCTCTGGATTGTTATTGGATACATTTATTTACCAAAAACCCCAATTCCCTGAACTATAACCACCCATGCTCTGAGCAATTCGAGACAACTGATAGACGTTCCCAGGGGACCAAACACGGGATGTGAATTTTCCACAGATGCCAGAGAAAACTACGCAGCACAGTCCATGCAGTTTGCCTGCAGTCACTCGCCTGCAGGCCTTTCCCTGCTAGCTAATCATTCAGATGGACTTCATCTTTTTCTTCTATTGGGCTGTTGAGTTAAAGACAAGAACAAAATGAATTTTTACACCAATGATCTATTTTTGTGGCCATCAGTTTCTCTGAAAAGAACTGATTAAAACAAGCTGTTATTAAGTCTAAAAGAAAGGGCTTGCTCGGGCTGTATTTCCAACCCTGCAGTACTGAGTCTCTGGAGAAGACTGAGCTTTCACAAGCTGATAGCACACAGGGGGTACACAGGTGTGTCTGAGGGCTGAGGGGGGCAGGTAAGGAGAGGACAGTGTCCTGTCACTCAGGCCGGATGTGCCATTTAACTAATAATGGAGAAAGCCTGAGTATTTGTTCTGCTACCTGGACACACACTGTCACAGTCATTCAGTATCTGCCATCGTAAAAGGGGTGATTAAGGCAAAGGCATAAGAGACTTTTAAATATTTCTAAATAAAACTCTGCATGTGTGCCTGTGTGTGTGTCTGCATGTATGTGTCTGTGTGTGTGTGTGAGACTATGTGTCTATGTGTGTATGTCTGTGTCTCTATGTGTGTGTGTCTATGTGTTATACCTGTGTGTCTTTGTGTCTGTTCGTGTGAGTCTCTGTGTGTGTGTCTGTGTGTGTGCATAAGTGTCTGTGTATATATGTGTATATGTGTGCCTGTTTGCATGTGTGTCTCTGTGTCTGTGTGTGTGTTTCTGTGTATATATCTGTGTATATGTCTTGTGTGTGTCTATGTGTGTATACCTGTGTATCTGTGTCTATTTGTGTGACTCTGGATGTGTGTGTATGTATGTGCATAAGTATCTTTGTGTATATGTGCATATATGTATTTCTGTGACTGTGTGTGTATCTGTGTCTCTGTGTCTGTATATATGTGTGTGTGTGTGTGTGTATAAATGTGCATGTGTGTCTCTGTCTGTAAATGTGTGTGTATGTGTGTGTGTGTGTGTCTGTGTCTGTGTCTGTATCTCTGTGTGTGCGTGTGTGTCATGGTAGCAATCCACCTTCTTTTTTAAGACAGGGTTTCTCATTGGCTTGTAGCTCCCAGGTAAGCTAGGGGAGCGGTCAGTGAAGCCCAGGCATCCACTCTCCCCCTCCCCACCAGTGCATGTCTCTACAGCAGGCCTTTCTACCTAGGCTCCAGGAACAACTAGGGTCTTCATGCATGCATGGTAAACGCTTCACCGACAGCTGTCACCAGCATCACTTCTGAGTATGCCTTTAAGAACTTCCAGGTCAGGGAAGCCCTGTGGGCTGTGTCTAAGAGACAGACAGAGTGCCCAGACAGTGAGGCAGAGCTAGCTTCCAGCCTGGATGATCTTGGAAGATACTGTGAAGGAGCTACCATTTAGACAGGCTTCCAAAGACAAATTTGTTTAAGATATGCAAATTTGAAGTCTGTGAGAACACATTAGAACCCCAGATCTCAGTGTCCGGGTGGGATCACCTGACTGGGAGAGGCGGCATGCTTTCAGTGTCCTGACCGTACCTCAGACAATGTCAGGGTCTCTGGAGGGAAGTGGGACAGCCATTATTATTTTTGATCCCATGGTGATTCTGAGGTGTAGACAGGGTCTTTCTTTGTCCCACAGCTTGCTATGAAGGCTGGGCTGGCTAGCCAGTGAGCCCCAGAGTTCTGCCTGTCTTTGCCTCTCCAGTGCTGGGATTATGAGTATGCCCAAGCATTGGTGCCTGGCTTCTTTATGTAGGTTCTGGGGTTAAGACTCAGATCCTTGTACTGTGGCAGCAGTCCCGTTACTGTCTGGGCCATCTCCTCAGCCCCATCGCTGCCTTGGTGAGGTTTTTGGTGAGGTAAGATGTGCTTTGATGTAACTTGAGATTTTTTATACTTACTGCCACTGAGCCTGGTTTGATATTTTAAATTTGAAAAACTGACCATTATGTCCGCTCTCCCTTTCATCACATGTATTCGGCTGCTTGGAACTGTGCCGTCATTCTCTAATGTGTTATTTTATTTATTTGAACCAAATATGTCCCACCCCTGGCCCAAGACTCTTCTGAGAACTGCATCCAGTGCTCCAGGAATTACCATGAAGTGCTCTAGGGGTTAGCATGCATGTGGTGCTTCAGGCATTAACATTCAGTGCTCCAGGGGTTAGCATGCAATGTTCCAAGGAAGGGTTAGCGTGCATGTGGTACTCCAGGGGTTAGCATGCAGTGCTCCAGGGGTTAGCGTGCATTTGGTGCTCCAGGAGTTAGCATGGATACAGTGCTTCAAGGGTTAGCATGCAGTGCTCCAGGGGTTAGCATGCATGTGGTGCTTTAGAGGTTAGCATGCATGCTGTGTTCCAGGGTTAGCATGCATGTGGTGCTTCGGGGGTTAGCATGCTGTGTGTTCCAGGGTTAGGAGGGGGTCATCCTGACTGGTGAGAACAGACACTTGGCAGATACTTCCCTGTCAGTGCTTTCCAGTGTCTTTCCCTCTAGCCTTGGGGAGTCTTGTTCCCCTATGAGCTGAACAAGCTGAGTCCACAGAAGACTGGAGACTCCTAGAGCTTGTCTGCACAGGAATACTCTTCCGTCTGCTACTCTCTGCCTGTGACCTCCAGCCTCATCTCTGCCTCCTTAGATCCTAACCCTGTCAGAGAACCTGCTGGTTCTGCATGGTTCCCTCTCTTTTGGGAAGTCGATAAGCTCAGTGCATTGGCTTCCTATCTGTCCGGCATCACCTCTTGTCATAGACCAATGACCCAATACCTTCAGAAACATTTGTATCTATCACAGTTCTCAAGCTGAAAAACAATGTATCCATAATTCAGTCAGAGCCATATGCTAACATACAAGAGAGACGGAAGAAAGGGCTAAGTACGCTCAGAAGCGAGTCTCTATGAAGCAGATGCTCGCTGGCTGGCGGGTGTGTGAGGAGAGGCACGTGTTTGGGAGAAAGTGCAGAGAAGTGTGTGCCCGTGCTGCCTCTTCTAGGAGATGGGATTAGAGGAACCAGCTGGGGTTGGGGACACTCAACAGTTACCAGTTTGAGATTAGCAGGTAAGGCCCTGAGCAGTGAGAGATTCTGGGGAAGAGACAAGGGAGGACACTGACAACCTTGGGTTTCCAGTGAGATGGTGACAGGGTACATCTTGTAACATGTAGTAACACCACAAAGCCAGCCTAGTGCCTAGCTACTTCAGACTGATTCAGTAAGACTCACGTGGGCTTGTTTGTGTTAAAACTCAGACTGTTGCCAGAAGCAAAGAACATGTTCTCTTTTGACAAAACATTATGCAGAGCCTTCAATGATCTCTCTGCAGAGTTTAGATACGTGATATCGGAAACTAAATCAAAGCAGCATGCACAGGAGATAAAGGTCAAACACGGAACGGATTTCAGAAGCAGACACAGGAGATGAGGTGTTGGAGATATCTAAGGATTCCAACAAGCAGTAACTAAGCCATTCAGGGACTTGGGGGACAAGATAAAAATGTCAGCCTGGATCTGTACACAGAAGGCAAAACAACCAAAAGCAATGATAACCATACCATACCATACCATACCATACCATACCCGTTACCATACCATACCATACCA